CAGAGTGAAGGCAAAAGGGCCAACAAGTGCTAAGCATCTCTGGGAACTCCTTCAAGACTGTTGGAAGACCATTTCAGGTGACTACCTCTTGAAGCTCATCAAGAGAATGCAGAGTGAGCGAAGCAGTAATCACAGCAAAAGGTGGCTACTTTGAAGAACCAAGAATATAAGACATATTTTCAGCTGTTTCACACTTTTTTGTTAAGTATATAACTCCACATGTGTTAATTCATAGTTTTGATGCCTTCAGTGTGAATCTACGATATTCATAGTCGTGAAAATAAAGAAAACTCATTGAATGAGAAGGTGTGTCCAAACTTTTGGTCTGTACTGTGTATATATATTCAGTTGATGTTCATTAAATGTTTTTTTTTAATTACTTTTGTCAATTTCAACTCATTTTAGTGACAGACGTTTTTTTTTTCTCTTTTTTGGGAGGGTATGTATAAATTTGAGGGCAACAGGTCAAAGAGGTGGAAACCGGGATGAGTGCTGTCCTTTGTGACTTTGTGAATGTGGTTTCAATCTAATGAATTATAATGCATTACCACTACTAGCGCTGGGCTGTTAAAACATAAACATAAATGAGTGAAATTAACTTTCTCGTGGCACATATTTCTGCAACGCTTCACGCTGAGGAGTGATACATCCGGGTCATAGAGGATCTCAGAGCGGGGGGAGGAGGAGGGGGGGTGAGGGAAGGGAGGGGCGGAAATCGAGAGCGTGCGTTTCATGACTCACGAGTTACTGCTGGGAGGAAAACTTACAGAGTTTCACACAGACGCGGTTTCAGACGCCTCAGCCGAGTCTCACTGGGTCTGCATTTCCAACCTAAAATAGCGGAGTGCGCTGGTTTCGTCCACCGTCCGAAGCGAACTCAACGGGGAGAGGAGAGCGAGTTATCCCGGCTGTGCGACGCGCTCCTCGGCTGCAGGTAACATCTGACCGCAGCTGCTGGAACAACGACTGATTGATTGAGGTGCTGAATGAGAAGCGTGAAACCTTGACCTAGAAAAAAAAAAAAAGGAGTTTCTGTTTTCTTTTTTACTTCGAGTTCAGGCCTATTTTAAACTAGTTTCGAGAGAAGTTTAGTTTAGTTTAGTTTTTTTTTTTTCGTTAAAGGTCAGACCGGTTTCAGACAAAGGCAGTCAGCTGGGAGATGAAGTGTGACGCTAACAAAGCAGGAAAAACGTGTAGAAATGAAACGTACAGCGTGTAGACACTCTTTAACTAGCTGTAAAACTTTTATTGGGATATCTGTGTTTGTTTTTCTCATTTCCTGTGTTTCTTTCAGGTGTCCAGAGAACCAGAACTAACCATGAATGGTAAGTTAATCAGTTTATTGGGAGCATTACACGATGAATTCATTTTATTTTTTCCTGCTGTGTTGTTTACTGTGGAGAGGAAAACACTTGAGCTCAGCACTGAAACATGATTTTGAAGTACCTTTCCAAAGTATTTCATTTCATGCTGCTTCAGACTTAGGGAGCTGCCACTATTGCTTAATGTTGGATTAGTTATTTGCTTGATAGAAAATGAATTGGCACCTCTTTAAATTCGATGTTTTTCCTATAAGTTATGGTTAGCATGTCATATTTAATGTATCTGTGTTCTTAAATATGATCTTTTTCTGACTTTCATGGTCATACATTACAGTACACTGGATATCTTTGACATTTTATGACACAGGGGACATTTGTGTGTGTTTTTTTATGTTTTAAAAGTGAAAATATGAATGAAAATGACAATAACCACTAGTTGCCCGTTAATCTAAAGCCTGTGGTTACTACTTACATTACAGTTTCAAGTTTTAAACACATAAAACACATGATTAGCATCTAAAATATGTTATTATCGATTAATCAACCCAACGGTGTAAAGTAATGAACATTGGCTCCGCTCCCAACAAATACAACATAAAATAAATCATAAGTAATAATTCATGGTGCTATAAAACCTACAAACACGCTACTTTTAGCATATTAATTATGTTTTGTTATAGATTAATCTATCTAACTGTAAAGTCATGAATATTGGCTCCATTCCCAAAAAATATGACATAAAAATGCATCATATATATTGATCCCTAATGTAAGGTAACACACTACTTTGGTATTTTAAGCACATTTTGTTGATCAGGGCTGCAAGTGACAGTCCATAAAACATCAGAATGAAGCAAAAAAAATGCCCTTGAAAATAATCTAGAGCTGAAAGTGACATCTTCAGATAACTTGTTTACTCTAGCCAACAGTCCTAAACCAGGAAATATTCAGTTTTCTTTAATGTAAAGCCCAGAAAAGCATTAATTAGTCAGAATTTAAATAGTTTTGCTTGAAAAATGACTCAATAATTACTTATCAACTAATCAAATATTTGTCTGATCCCTGTAGCTTTGTCTGTAATACTTGCATGTTCTACTTCGTGAAACTTTAAAGTGCAGGATATTTACTTGGAATGTGTTTTTTTCCCCCCAATAGCGTGACATTTCTACCTCTCTGTTCTCTGATTAAAACTGTTGCATCACAGGGTATTCAGAAATAAATAAGTTGTCAGGTTTGTTTCAGTTCCAGCCCTTATTAATCAGATTACTGTGGCACAACACCTAATATTCTCGTCCTCAGCCAGCAACTCTGCTGTTACACAAGTCGCTCTTAGCTGACTGTGTGCTGAAGATAGAGCGCTGTGACATTTTTAACATGCTTTTTTATCTTGCAGATACAGATAATATGACGACACTTGCCCCCCTCCTCCCAAAAGCTGTGACACAGAGTGAGCACATTGTGTTTTTCAGATCAGTTATGAATGTGCTGATTGGCTTTAAAGGCCGAGTTGCAGCCAACAATTATTGTGATACCATAACCCCATTGTTTGTGCTGTTTTATCAACATGCTGTGTTTTTCTTTCAGCAACAGATGTGGCGACTTCAACGTCACTCCCCACAGACCCAGCCACCACCATCATTCAGGGTAATGTCTACAATTTTCGTGTTTTCTATTGCAGGCAGTCTCCTGGATTCCCACAGTAGTTCTCCATAGCACCATTTACTTCCCCTCAAATACAGTAGAGTCACATGACTTCTATACTTTGTCTGTCTGACACGAGTTATTTAAACCGTCATCTGTTTGTTTCAATTTCCCCCCTCAGTGGTAACAACAGCAGTCCCGTCAGGCCCAGACTCGGCTGTCATTGCAGGTAACTGTTTATAGTTTATCCTGAGATTTTTTTTTTCTCACTGCATCACAAAGTGATAAATGTCGTCCAAATTTTTCTTTATTTTTCCAGTGGTTATTGTTCTCATCCTGCTGACGCTAGCTGCTTTGGGCTTCCTGCTTTACCGGTATCTCTGCCACAACAAAGGAGCCTACAGGACGACAGGGGAGCTGGCTCCAGGAGAGGACCCTGACGAGGACTACGGTAACCAGGCTGTGAGCGAAAAGAAGGAATACTTCATATGAACCTGGTGGAAAAGTTGTCAGGAGTCAGCGTCGCCTGAGAAGGAAAAAGGATCTGCGGAAGAATGATAAGAAATGGGACTGGGTTTTTTTTTTTCTGTATTTTGAGGGAAGCCCGCTCATGGCTGCACACTGTTAAAGAGGAAAACCTTGTTTAAGATGTTATCTGAAAAGCACAAGCAAAACCAAAGATAGACTGTGGGAGTGAACATTGATGGACGTGTAGCAGGTGAAAGACAACAGGTGTGTGCAGATCAGCAGAGCTGGGCACGAAACAGGTGGTGGGATTTTAAAATGTCCACGGTTACAGATCAGGAAATACTCAGCAACAATGTAAATGTAAGAGGAGCTTGTCTGCGACACTATTTATCAGCCATATTTCTCTTTTTAGTATTTGAAATGCATTTTTTCATTCAGACATACTGTATGTTTTTTTCTAAACAAGCCTTGTACAAGCATGTTGTGGTGCTATTGTGGGCTGTTACTTTTATATCTATTTGCTTTTAAAATTATCAATTTTCTATGCAGTTCTTTTATAAGCTAGCCAAAAACAATGTCCTCTTTGTTTTAGGACAGCTGAATGTTATATTGGTTGTATTTGCACCAGGTATTGTTGTGTGTAATTCCCCACCAGACATGGTTACAGATGACTTCCTCATTTGAAATAAATACGAAAGGCAATAAAACTTTTTTTTGGATAGAGTCAACACAGTGTGAAAGCAATCTTTTGTTTAATGTATTGTGAAATAGGCAGTTTTTTTGTTTTTTTTTTAATCAGCACTGCGGCCCACTTCGGACACAGCACACGAGGAATTCAAACATCACATTACAAAACATACCGTACATTACACTAAAAGTTTGATGCACCTCGCCACATTTAGTATAATCCCATACAAACATGTGATGTTAGCTGATGTCAAGTAGAAGTATGCCAGTAGTCTGACTCACCAGATGTAGGCTGCAGGTATAAGCAGCAATTTTTCATTCAGTATTTCTTTCATGGTCTTCCTGATAAGAAGTGGAGTTTTACTGTCCATATCTGTTTTCACTGAAAGCTGCTGCTACTAGAGACTGAAACCTTGATTTTAACAAACCTCAGCAGCTATTGAAAATTTAGCTCTAATGAATCTTCAGCTGTGGATGTGCAGCTACTTACATCATAACTCGAATTCAGTTCAAATGTCGCCTCTAAAGTCATCTTTTTAACTTTTCAGTTGTAATCTCGTCTAAACTCTAACACAGTTCACACCACTTTATGTACTACAGGATAGGCTGGCTTGGACCGATATGCCAGTAACTTTGACTATTCTGACATCAATTTAAGTATATTGTGTTACCATATTCAGCTTATGTTTATGTGTGTTTGTATGTGTACTGTATATACAATCAGTCACAACATTAAAACCACTGACAGGTGAGTTTAATGGCATCAACCGTGTTGTTACGATGAAATGTTCTGCTGGGAAGCTTTGGGTCCTGGAATTTATGTGTTTCTTTGACACTGTCCTGAACCCAGCGTGGCCTCCTCAGCAGGACAAAGACAGGACTGCAAAAACCACATTGGGATGGCTCGAGGAACACAAGGAAGAGCCCAACTGTGTTCTCCCAGCCTCCCAATCTGCCCTAGAATAAGCCTGATCTATGGAGGCCCCCACTGTAGAACCCAGAAGAGCCAACACCCCCAAAGATCTTATATTCAGGCCCCAATGGATCAGAGCTGGTTTTCTTTGCCACAAGGGGGACCTATACAATATTATTCAAGTGGTTCTAACGCTGTGGTTGATTGGTGCTTATTTGTATGTATTTGTGCACAACAAAAATGTATTAAAAGTAGCAGAACCTGCTTAAACAAATATGTTGATCAAACTATTACTTACCTATGATGCAGCGTGCCTTTGAAAATAGACACTTTAACAATAACCAAAATCCCAGACTTCATGCAGTCTTGTATTACAATACGGAAACAACCGCCCGTCCTGTTCTAATAAAATATTATACATGAGAAGGAAAGAACAAAGTTGCCACATTTCAAATTTCCAAAATAACCTTTATTCTAAACTTACATTTTAAATTTTAAGTTTAGTATAAAAAAGTTAAGTGCACCTAAGTTCTTTTTTTCAAAGTATTCCATCTTTGACATGTCTCAGCAAACTGTAGTGACACTCATCTCCTTTAGTAATCTTAAAAGATAGAATGTGTACCAAAGTCCCATCACATCACTTTAGTACATACATCTATTTTACAAAATATTGTAAAGAGAATCCCTGAACTATAAATGTCCATAATCCTTCAACAAAGAGTGATCCTTTTGCTGGCTGTGGTTGGCATAGCATCTACTGGTCAGCTGTAGTTTACAGTACTTCATATTGCTGGGACAAAGCCACCATTATGCTGCTTTACAAACAATCAGAGCAGAGATGGAAATAAAAAGAAAACATTGTCTGAATTACAGTTTTTTTTTAAAGAAAAGTTTTGATAGCTGTGGCCTGTTTCCTCTCGAAGCTGCGTATAATGACAGCGTGAGCAGGAATAAGCGAACCTGGAGAAGTTTTAAAATATACTAAATACTTGAGTGACACATCAGTCATGCCTGGTTTTGTAAATTTTGAGTGAGAGCTGCACAGAAGAGGTTCATCGGAAGAAATGAAGCAGGTTTACACACAGATGGTCTTTCCGACTTAGGTAACACTGAAATCACTAAATGTGGGTCGACAGGAACGCTCTTTGTTTTTTGGTGGCCACAGCTGTTAAAACTTGATATGGTATGTCGGATACCCAGTGACACATTGACACCAAAATGAGGAATATCTACAAATATTAGTCGATGGTATCCATGCTGATGTCTTACCTAGTTTCAGATGCCTTATATACGTTTGCCAGATACTGTACTGTGTTTGCTCAACGACACAAAAACGTCTTGGAAATTAACAATCATGCTGACAGTCATATAGCCTCTTTGCAAAAAGGTTTGCATACACTTACAGGCTACTGAACAACACTACACATCTCGACACTATCTTAAAATGGACTAGACAGGATGAATTTTAAAATCTATAAATGTTCAAAAATGTCACAGCTTTTTTTCTTTTTTTTTTAAGAAACACGAAAAGAACATTTGAAAAAAAAAAGAGAGAGAGTAGCCCCTTGTCTGCAGCTTCTCGGTTTTGCTTTGCAGTGCATTTCAGATAAAAAGTGTTTTTAATCAAATTTGTACATAGCAAAAAGGTGCAAATGTATGAATTAACTTAAAGATGCATTCGACCCACGTAAAGTGACACGAACACGTTAACTAACGATTGCAGTCACGTCACACCGGAGGCTCAATGGACCGACAGTGTCACAACTTCTTGTTCAAGGATATGTTTGCTTTTAAATTGTGACGGCTAAAATTTCAAGTCACAACCAAACGTAAGTGCATTGTAGACCAGATCTTTGGTACAACCAGCTCATTGGTTATACTAACAAATGTATTAGCCTAACTACTTATGTAAATCACTTGAGTTTGGAAAAACAATGAAGGAAAAAAAAGAAAAAATGAAGTTGTGAAATATTTCATGAAGTCTCCTCAACCTTGTTGAAAATGTTGACTATAAACTAATACTATCACAAAAGGTGACATTTTTCTATCGTGAATAAGTACATAGTTGGATGATGCTAAATTGTGAAAGAGAAACAAGGGAGGAAACTTCTTAAAATCTGTACAATAAAACATTTAGTGTATAAACTCTGGGTATCCGACTGTGAAATAGAAACAGGAGACAAAAAAGCTAAAATGTTACACCAACCACCCCTTCCCATTCTTCTTACTATTTGGATTTACTTTAAAATTTCTTTCCTTTAAGTTTACTGAAGTTAATTTGCTTTAATTTAGGGCTATCCCCAGTGCTCTTTGGCACTTGACTATGTTCATCTACAAGTTGCCCAACAAGGTACAGTAAACCACTTTAGATATTGCATTAAATCTTTTCTCGAATTATTAGTTTTTGCTTTGATTTAATTTCTTTCATTTACACGTGATTTAAATAGAACAATCTGTCTGAAAGACAGTTCACTGTGCAACAAATTTGCTGTGGTTTTTTTTTTTTTTCGGATACTGTGCAAAAGACAAGACAATTCTAGCTAAAAGCATCCAGGATGCAGGTTTTTTTTTATACTTGAGATGTAATTTCTCATGATCATCATACTGGTATTTACATGGAACTATTACACACTTATTAATTTAACTACACTAAAAGGTTTCAAAAAAAAGACAAGTGGAGATTTCTTTTTTTTTTTTTTGCGCTTGAACTGCAACTTTGTAACTGCGTTTCACTTTCACCATAAAGCAGCTAAACTATAGAATGCGGGTCTGATATTTCAACATTTTATTTACGTAGCTTTACAGGAATACAAGAACATCTCAATGTAATTTGCGACCGTTCGATCAAAGGAGACATGGTCTCTTGAACAAATACAGATGCCTGAAAGAGTCCAAGTCCAATCTGGAATGACCAAAGAGGTTAGACCCATTGAAGAATTATGGAATGGATTCTATATCATTAAAAATTTGCATTTGTCCTCTCCAGGCAGTGGCATTTATCATTTGATCTCTAGGTCAGAAGTGGAGTACTGTACCTTTCACAAGGGCTCTAAAATATTACATTCCGTTAGGTGATATCAGTATTGTGGCACGGCCAAGCAGCCTGAAGAGGGAGGCGTATGGGATGGGGAAGAACTGGGGAATATTCAGGAATGGGGACACGGTTTAGGCATGAAGAAAGAGTTGAGGAGTTGCTGTTACCAGATGGTATAACCTCCATTGGATCCACCCAGGAAGAAGTTATTCTTGCGCTGTGTCATTACAACGTTGGCACCCTGCATGGCAGCCAGCTGAGCTGCATTAGGGGGGTGTCCAGGAGGTGGGGGCTAGCGAATGGGAGAAACAAACATAGGTTGATCCAAAAAACAACCCCAAAAACAAAACAGCAACCCCAAAACATCTCAACAACATCTTAATATGGCTTCCTTTAAAATTACTCGACTAAGTGGATACTCACTGGGATGGAAACGCTGCTGCCGGCTGTGAAGCGAGCACCAGCATCAAAGCCGCCTTCCACCATCACCGCTGAACCATGCGGGTAGACGGCTCCCATGGGATAGTAAGCCATGGGGACATTCTGACCCACTGGCCCAACTGGCATAGGTGCCTGCATGGGCATGAACACCTGAGTACCAGGGTAGTGGGAGGACATCTGAGGCACCTGACCAGGCACCTGAGGTGGAAGCACATATCTGGGCTGGTATATCTGCAGAGATGGAAGAACAGATTATAAACCCTTGAGAACTGTTACTGTGTGTATTAAATGTGCTATCATATGACTTGGAAATGCAATAGTTACCTCAGAATATGCAGGTGGTGTGTCTGTGTAAGGAGGTGCCTGAGGAGACATTTGCATAGCAGGAGGGTATACAGGTGCAGTGCTCTGCTGAGGGTACACAGCCTGCTGTGGATATGAACCTGCAAAACAACATTTTACTTTATGGCAAATACCTTTCATGTAGTCCTAACAGTGACTGACACAGAAATCCCAAATTAAGCGAGTGATGATGTTTTTGTGGCAGCTTGTTTAAGCAGTAAAGAAAAAGAATTTCAGAGGTGACACATTAGTTACAGGCAGAGGCCAAGATAAATATGTCACATTTAGAATAAAGAATAATTCAGTATGAG